CATTGTCTTTCTTTTAACCTTGACAGGTTAAAAGAATTTCTCGCTCATTGTTCCTTTTTCATGCAGAATTTCCATGCATTTTTAATAGGAGGAGTGCCTGGTGACTTTAGCTAAGGCTGTCTCATGCTGAAGCTTTCAGTTGTTCTGTGTACAGTTACAGAGCAGCAACCATCGAACAGCGGTTTTCAGCCCTGCTTCTCATCTTTGTCCTTCCGGGAATCTGTCAAAGTGAGTCTAATTCCTACTGCCCATCTTGTGAGTAGACAGGCCATCTCCCTTCGGATGCACCACAGAATATTTTCATGCTGTTTCTATATCAGTGCTTTGCTCTTCCTTCCACTTTCCCTTTAAGACGTGTGCCCAATTCTTATTTCCATGAATGCCCCCACACATTCTTTTTCTGTTAGTCATTTTTCATTCTTTAAAAGCAAAGATTTAGATTTATTTTTAGTATGAGTGTTTTGCCTGCATGTATGTAAGTGTACCATGTGCCTGCAATACTTGTAGAGGTTAGAAGAGGGTGTCAGATCCTCTGGAACTGGAGTTAGAGTTGGTTGTTCCTGTGTAGATGCTGGGAACCAAACCAGGTTCTCAGCAAGAGCAGCCAGTGCTGTAAACCACTGAGCCATCTCTCCAGCGCCCCTTTTTCAATTTTTGTTATTAGTTTAATAAGCTCTGCAGAGTTAGAAGAAGACATGTATCTCCTCAGTCTTGTCTTGAATGAAAGCTCAGCTTCTGATGCTGCTGTGTAAGCTTGCCCCCCACTCCCATCTATTATCGTAGCTCATACTCCTCATATATGATGCCTGCCAATTCCCTCCCTCACACCTAGCAGAGAAAAAACAGAAACCATGAGATGCAAGTCCCTTCAGTTCCCATCTTCCCTTTTCATTCTGGAAATCCACTTTCTTATTGCCTGCCCACAATGCTTTTCCTTCACTCCCAGTACAGGTGCCCCCTTTTCCTGCCCGTCACTGACCTTTTGCCCCTGTCCACTATGCATGGCCTCAGCCCATTCCACATCCATCCTACTCCCTAGGCCAAATCCATACCCAGAATTCCTAAATCTGTACCTTTAGCTATCTGATCAGTTTCCTTCAAGTTTATATTTCTAGTTGTCATTTCTAATAGTCAAAAAGAAAATCCTCACATCCCAGGGGTTTCTTCAGATTCAGCATGTCTGAAGCTGATATCTTCATTCCTCTCTGAAAAGAAAAATGAGCTCTCTGTGCGTGTGTTTCCCCACTGTACTTAGGAGTGCCATGGCCCATGGTATTGCCCCATCTGCAAGTCATTTAACTTCCTTGAATATTTATTTGGCTATTGATAAATCTAGTAACAGGGTACATTTTGCCACACTTCTTCCCCTTCGCTGTTTAAACTCTCATTGTTTCTCACCTGCACCATCAATAATAAAGCTCTTCTCTCTAACGTCAATCCTTTCTCTTCTGTAAGTGATTAACAAACAAACAAGCAAAAACTTACGTGAGAACCAGAAGGAAGCAGGTTCTGACCTTTTCCTGTCATTTCCTTACTGGACTCAGGAGTTCACTGTCTTTTCATCTCTGGGAAGAAGAGGCACCTCTCCTCTTCTGACTTTGCCACTCCCCATTGATTCCCATTTCATGGCCGAGTTTGCATCATGTTTTGTTACATTCTGAGTCTTTGAAAGACAAGAATAGTATTGTATACTTTATCAGGTTCCGAGTATGTGAAGCAGATCAACTTCCCTACATATGAGTGGGTATTGGCTATGTGCTAAGTTTAGGAGAAACAATAAAATGGCCACCCAGGCCAGATTCTGTAACTGAGGAACCCAGTTGAGAAAGGTTTTCAGGGTGATAAATAGCATAGGAACCAGTCCTTCCTCGGCTATTTATTCTTGGTTATCCCCAGTTTCACATATTTTATAAAGGAAAACATCCTTGAATGAAAGTATCTAGTGGAAGATGGATGTGCTAGGTTTAACTGCAGATGTGGTTTCTTGAAGCAACAGACATTCATTGTCACTGTTCCAGGGTCCAGAAATCCAAAATCAAGGTGTGGGCAGTAGGGTCCCCTCCACAGACTGAACAGGAGCTTCCTGCCTTGTGTACACCAGCTGGCCTAGAACTCACAGAGAGCCTCCTGCTGCTTCCTTCCGAGTGCTGGGATTAGAGGTGTGCACTACTTCTACCCAGTTTTTAAAAACTTCTGTTTTCTTACTCCTAATCCTTGCCTTGACAGCTCAGCATATTGGTCAGCTTTCAGTTCTAGACACTGATTCATTTAATGAAGGACACCAAATCTATAGGGGATTCCTCATGTAACCCATCCAGCTATCTTGCTTTCCAGACGGACTTACTATCCAACCTTCAGCTGGGTTTTTCCCCACTGATGAACATTACCGTTAAGTAATAAGGCATACTCCAAAAGAAACGTGTTTGTCATCCTTTGCTTTTTCACAAGGTCCAAAGATTTTAACATACAAATGTGTATTTAGATTTAGAAATTATTTAAGCATATGTATGCACACATATGCCATGGAAAAAGATTAGAAGTAGTTGTCTCAGAGAAGTTTGGAAGAACATAAGTACTTTTTCAGTTTTAAGTTGCAGTGCCATGTCTGCTTCCCTCAGCCAATGTAATGATCGCACTTTTGTGATTAGGAGAGCAAACATTTTTTAAAATAGTAATTTGAGTGATGCTTTAGTAAACATTTTAGTAAATGTTATTTAATTTTTATAAATACATAATGCACATATTATATATATTTATAAATTATAAATTTTGTTTGATTTTGTTTAATAAAATAGTCCAAATAGGACTATTTGTATTTTTAAAAAGCAAGATGAAGAGCTACACATAGTAGCTCGTGCCTGGATCCCTGTACTGGGGAGGCCGAGGCAGGACGGTTTCTGTGTCAGGCTGTGCTAAAGAGTAAGATCCTGACTCAAAACAAACAACAACAAAATGAAGCAAGATGAGTAGGCCGACTGGGATTCTAGGAAGAGGCCATTGATTGTTTTTGTTCAATTCAGACTCGATGTAGGTTTTAGAATGATGGTAACATTGTTAATTATTCAAGACCTCACTAGATAATTACTCAGGACCTTATTGACGCCACTGGGGAGGTTTCCCAGGAACCTGGTATGAGCATGAGCCTGTCCCCTCTGCTCTGTGGTCTGATGGACCTCCACACTGATACTCCACACTGACACTACCTTTGGTTTGCTGGGGACCATTCCAGAATGAGTCCTGTAATCTCCCAGCAGGAATCCCATTTGACTCTGGCAGGCCAGTGTCATTCCAGTCTGTATACTGCTTCAATGTGGCCCTCATGTGTGTATTGTTGTGAAGAAGCCACACATTTGTATCAATTCACCATTCCTGGAAGCCACAGCAGAGAATTAGGCACTTTTGATCTGTTTCACTATCGAATGCAATTTTCTGTAAGGGAATTTCCCTATTTTGGCTTATAATACATTGATAAGTTGTTGAAAATTCAATTGCTTTTGGTCCCCAAGTTAGCAGATAAAGACAGCCCAGACATTTAATGTGAAAGTTTTCTAGTAGCTTTTAGAGAGGAGGGCTGTGTACGTGTTCTCTGCCCTTGCATGGGAGGGCTGTGGCAGCACCTTGCCTGTTTGTGAGACTGTAGTGCTTTGTTTCCTTCTGTCAGCTGTTCAAGGTGCAGTCCCTTGCCCACAGCATGCACATAGTAGGGTAGTGGAGGGACAGGTTCTAGTATACCCTAATGCTTAGAATACCATGCCTTAAGTGTCCAAGTGCCCTTTCTTCCTGCCCAAATCTGGTGCCCATTCAGTCACAAAAACCTTTGTGTACTACAGTCAATTTGAACTTTGATAAATCAGGTATGATGGTGTTCTCCTCTAATCCCAACTCATGGGAGGTGAAGGCAGGAAGATCAGACTTTCAAAGTCATCCCCTGACTGCATAGTAAGTTTAGGCCATCCTGGGTTACATGAGACCCCCCCCCAAAAAAAAAAAACCCTCAAAAAAACCAAAAACAAAGACAAAAAAACCCCAACACTTTAAAATAGGGCAACTGTCTTCACTTATTGGAACATTTTTCTCATTGGCAGTCACAGAGCAGTAACCATAGAGAATCAGGTTTGGACACTCATTCTGTGGGTTTACTGTGTCTTACATGTATTCACAGGATGTGTTTCTTTTTCATGCTGAAGGACTGTTTAGATGTTCCTTCTCACTCTTCCAGGAGTGCTCCCAGTCTAGGTCACCTGGGGACAGCTGCTAGTACCCTTCACTGTCACGCCATCTTAGCCTTACCTCTCTCCCAAACATCATACATCTCTCATAACTTGGAGTTTTCTAGCACTGCCTACCATCGAGACCTATGTACTTCTACACACAGCTCAACCCCTACCCCAGGCATACCTCTGCCAAGCCTGCCCCTGACATGCTTTCCTGTGGGACACAATTCTCCCATGACTTCCCTGCTTACATTCTCTGGGTGATATTTAATGGAGCTGTATTCTTATTCTCTCCCTTTTTTGCTACCTGGAGCCCTTGAGATAGGTGTGTGTGTGTGTGTGTGTGTGTGTGTGTGTGTGTGTGTGTGTGTGTGTTGAGATTATGTGTGTGTGTGTGTGTGTGTGTGTGTGTGTGTGTGTGTGTGTTGAGATTCTTGTTCTTTATCTTCATGTGGGCTCAGCATTCTCAGAGTGGAGATGATATCCCTATCTGCACTGTCCATCACAGCACCAGTCCCTAGAACAAACATTTTCTTAATGGCGGACATCCTTCCTATGCTGGAAGCTTCCAGTTCCTTAGACTCCATATTCTCCCCATGCTTGGGAATAACAGATGATGGTCAACAGTGTGTCCAGCTAAGGATATAGTGACATCAATGGATATGTGACCAACCAAGCATCACAATTGTTCCTAACGTGAAGGAAAGTTTTACCACCTGCCTTCTGGCCCTTTTGCTCTTTGACCAGGGAAACCATCAGTTCTGTCTAATGGGATTATGGTTTCAGGTTAGAGAACTCCAAACTCGGCTGCAGAGTGTGCAGGCCACAGGCCCCTCCAGCCCTGGTCGCCTCACATCTGCCAATCGTCCTATAAACCCCAGCACCGGAGAGCTGAGCACCAGCAGCAGCAGCAATGATATTCCCATCGCCAAGGTGAGGTCCGAGGAACAAGCCTGGTGGGTGGGAATACTTCCTCTTATCTGAAAGCCCCAGCTGTGGCTAAGTCCACCATTGTACAGGCTTCCCTGTGTGTAGCCCCTAGGGGCTTCCTGAGACTGAGTGTCGGGCCTCCTGTGTCAAGCTGAGATATAACCCATTAATAGTTTTAAGTCTCAGTTGCAACCTGGACACCAGGTCTCATTAATCAGCCCACTGAAAAAAATGTCACAGCTGACAAGTCATCCTGGAGAATTTGTCAAGTACAACCATACCTCACAAAGGATGGGATAGTTGCTTTCAAGGACTAAAGTTCAGCCCACAGGGGATCCTGAGTAATGAGGCAGTGATCTCCTTCCTCACAAGACCAACAGCTCTGTCAGCAAAAGAAATACATCATAGAGCTGAGTGTGGAGGTACATGCCTGTAATCCCAGGAGAGGCAAGAGGATCATCGTGAGTTCCAGGCCACTCAGGGCTACACAGTAAAAAAAAAAAAAAAAGAAAGAAATACATTATGATGGACAGGCTCTGACAGTTGGAGAAATTACCCCATTCATTCTCTGTCATAGCTCCCAGTCCAGTCTCCTAGAGAGAGCCTGTCACATGGTGTAAATGGCACATGTCTTCCTGTCTGGTAGCCCTACTGGTCTCCACAATAGAGTTGTTTCACAATTATCAAGTTTAGTAAGTTAGTCATAACCAGTTCTTCTCAACTAGAAGTGATTTCTGTTCCCCAAGGAACGTTTTGAATGGTCACAACTATAGTGCTACTGGTATCTTGTGGCTAGAGGTCAGAGATACTGCTCAGTAGCAGAACAGCAGCTCTCCCCTCCCCATGTTATCCAACTCCAAATATGCCTAGACTCAGAAGCGCTAGGTTAAGATGGCATCAGGTTTGAACCAGTGGGTTGCTTACAAGACGCTTTAGTTGACAGGACTAAATTGTGTAAGTATGACCTCAGTTCATCTTGGGGAGTGATACATACTTTCTGGTGATTGTTTTGTTTTTTAAGATTGCTGAGAGAGTAAAACTATCAAAGACAAGATCTGAATCTTCATCATCGGATCGGCCAGTCCTGGGCTCAGAAATCAGTAGCATTGGGGTGAGTGTTGGCAAGGGGCCAGGAAAGAAGGTCCCTATTATAGCCACCCAGACCGTGGCTCCTAGATGATAGAACTGCTGGTATTCACCTTCAGTCAGTCAGCTAATTACATAATAAATTATACCCATTTCATTCCACAAAGCCAAATTAAAATGTATAGAGGTTTCCACATAGTGGACTACTGCTGCAGTTTTAAGGGAGATTCCCCCACCCTCTGAAATCTTCCAGAAAGAAAAGATTTGGATCTAGTTACTGGCGGTGCTGATGAAAATCTTGAACTATCTGTTCTATATCACTTTGCACCATACAGACCTAGGGAGTCACGAAGCTCTGAAAGAACTGTGCCTTTGTACATTCTTCTTGAAAGGGGAGATGCTGCCCAGTGTGGGTGAATGCTGCCTTTGAAGTGGGGCCCAATGCCAGCAAGCACTGGAAGGAACCAGCCTGCTTAGTGTGGGAGTGTCACAGGGAGAGCCTGTGACCCCCTCAGGTATAAGAGCTGATGGACGGTGGCAAGGGAGTAGCTTGAGTTCCTTAAGGAGTATCTTTTAGGATTAGGCAGGAAGCTGGGAAAACCAGCTGTTTGATCCTAGGGCAAGGAGAGGGAGCCATTAAAAAAACCTTAAACCATCAAGGCCCTAATTTGAAGTTTAACACTGGACAAAACATGCATGCACTCGGATCTTGTGCCAAAAACCAAACAGAAAATACAGAAAATAAAGGGAACATCCTTTCTTTTTACCCACAGTCACCAGAGACAATGTCCTTGGAGAGTCAGAAGTTCAGGATGGGGGAAGACAAGACTACATCCAAAGTCAGGAATTTTGGGGACCCTAGGAGACTTGATCCCCTCTCTGCTTGATTCCCAGCATCATGTGTTTAGGGGATGCAGCTGAGCTTTAATTGTGTTTGATTTACTGCTTTCATAGTAGCTTTTTATGCTACAATTAGGTAAACTGAGACCCAAGGCCCAGCAAGGTAACCGTCTCATGGTGCCAAATTCTTAAGAAATCTTAGTTTAAATTTTAGGTGCAAATCATGCCTGAGGATCAGTGTTCCCAACCTGAGGTCTCTGAATCATGCTCACTCATATAGGTATCCAGCAGTGTAGCAGAACACCTGGCCCACTCACTTCAGGACTGTTCCAACATCCAGGAAATTTTCCAGACGCTCTACTCACACGGATCTGCCATCTCTGAAAGCAAGATTCGAGAATTTGAGGTAGAAACGGAACGACTGAATAGGTAAGGAGAATCCAATGTATTTCACTGGGGAGAGAAGAGTGCCTCCCTACCCCCTTTCTGAAGACTCGTTCTAGCTGACTTGTAAATCGTGAATTGGAGTAAGATTCCCAGGATGGCGGGATTGAAATGGAAAAGTACTTGCAGTAACTAAGGCCAGCTTCCCAGGGTTGAACCCACATTCGTGCAGGGCTTTGTGCTTAGAAAGGTTGCACACATGCTTTCTGGCCCTGCTGTTACTGTTTTAAATTCTTAATAATTTATGGGCATGGGGCCGTGCTTTCTCATTCTAAATCTTGCAAATTATATAACAAGTCCTGGAGCAGTCCATAGGGAATGTCAAGTAGGTCATAGAAGGCTGCCAAGCGTGCAGGCCTGTGCTGCAGAGACACACAGGGAAGTCCTGGAATGTTGAGTCAGTGTCCCTGGGGTGCCTGCAGTTGCCAGGAAGTAGTGAAGGCAATGTGCTGGAGCTGTTCCTGGCATTGGCCCCACATGCTAGTCCGACTCTCCGCTCTTCTTCGGGTTGTCTGGTTTTATTTATGCTCTTTGCTCGTATGCCCAACCCCAAGTTCCTATGTTCTATCTTAAATAAATGAATTTATCATATACACAGCTCTATAGATTTTTCCTAGTTCTCTGGACAGAGACGGTTGGAGCATGCACCCCACCTCTTGGCAAAGATAGGCTTGCATGTAATCCCAGTGATGAGGGAGCTGCTCAAATAGCTAAGAAGGACCAAAGCCAAACCTGCTAACCACCCTGACTCAGATTCAGTTCCATGATAGCAGAATGGCCTGTTGACCCATTTCCAAGAGTTGGGTGTCTGCCTTGACCTATTAGTCTTTAGTAGGAGAGCACAGTAAGAACTTAGAAGGCTTATGAGCTAATGGAGAAGAAATGTGAACACAATTCCCCATTCCCCATTGCTTAATTCATTCCTCTTGTGTATGGCAAAACAAAATAAATTAACATGTTACTCCTCCCTGATTTGAAACTGTTTAATATAGTTCTTTAGAACTATGGAACTGTGGCAATCTAGGACATTTTATTTTATTTTTATACATTTTATTTTATGTATATGAGTGTTTTGCCTATACATATGTAGGTGTACCTGTGTATGCAGTGCCTGTAGAGGCCAGAAGAGGCCTCTGATCATGATCATGATCATGATCTCATGGACCTGGAGTTACAGTTTTTAGCCACCATGTCGGTGCTGGGAACTGAACCTGGATCATCTGCAAGAGAAACCAGTGCTTTTAGCTGCTGAACCATTTCTCCAGCCTCAATCTAGGTCATTTTAAAGATTAGTTTAAAATTATGTGTATGTTGGTAGGAGGGATATCCACATGAGTGTGGGTAGCTGCACAGGCCAGAGGCATTGGGTCACCTTGGAGCTGGAGTTACAAGTATTTGTAAGGAACACAATGTGGGTGTTAGAAATTGAACTCAAGTCCTCTGCAAGAATAATATACAGTCTTAACTGCTGCACTATCTCTCCAGGCCCATCTAGATCATTTTAAATCTTGAAATTAAATGGTTTCCTTATTAAATCCTAAAATACTTTAGAGTGATGAGCCCAGTGATTACCTTGCAGCAGCAAAGCAAAAACACTTTTCTCAGTATCACTGGCCCAGGAATGCTTAGACCTGAATCAGATATGCCCTTTTCAATTTAATGAAGCCAAATGCATTCAAGGACCCTCACTTTAGCTGAAGATCTTTTCTCACTCTGGGATTTCAAAGGTCTACTTTGTTGCCGAACTTGGGGGACGTACCTTTCTTGTCAGTTGTGTACACCCAAGAGAGAATGAAGAAGGGGTAATATTTGGTACTTGAAGCTCAGATTACTGTATGTTTAACAGTGAACAATGGGGGCTCACAGAAAGCCATTTAATGTTCAACTTGTGAGGATAAAGCTTGTCTCATTTTGCAAATGAGAAAAGAGGCTTTGAAGTTGAAAGTTAAGTGAATCAAGTCAGAGCCAGTAAATACCTGAAGCAGATTCTAGAACCTGCCCTTTACTCTGCTGTCTCATAGCTGTGACTGGAGCCTGGGGGCTCTTAGAAACAACCTACCAAAATGTCCTAATGTCTGATATTTGCCTCAACATTGAAGGCCTATCAATCCCCGAGAATGCTAGCCTTTGGCTCTGTGATTTGGTTGGGGCAGGGAACATACCTACTCAGAAGTGTATTTTCTCACTTAAACACATCTGTGTTAAAAGCCTGCTAAATGCTAGAGTATGTGGTATGAAAAGCAAAGCAAAAAGGCGAGGCCTCTGATCTCATGGAGCTTATATCCTGTTAGGAGAGGTAGACAGAAAAACTGAAACTTCAAGAAGGACGTAAGCAGGACCCTGAAAGAGTAACAGCTATTTGTGCCTTTGTTGTTATTGTTGCTCTTTTGGTGCTGGAGATCAAATCCATGGCCTTGTACAAGCTAGGCAAGTGCTATGTCCCTGCCTGAGGGTGGTCAGGGGCAGTATCTCCAAAGAGGAGAGGTTTGCCTTGGGGTTTTAAGGAAAAAGGACTGTATGAGAAGGCAAGAGTGTCTTATGGGCCAACTTAACCTCCAGGATGGAAAGAAGTGGCACAAAGGGGGAACTATGCAAAGGCCAGTGGCACTGAGCCAGGGTGAGGTAGCTGCTGGCAGGAGCTGGCTTGGGTATGCACTCTGAGGCCATGGCCAGATTTCACTCTCTATCCTAAATAGTTAGAAGGCATTTTAAATAGAGGAGGAACAAAGCCTGCTCTACCTTTCAAGCTCAGGGGTAAAGAATGGAAAGGGCGGGTGAGGGATGGAAGCAGGGAGATGGCTGTGGTGGGCTGGAGGCACAACAGGTGCTGAGTTCAGGATATGGATAGTGGTAAAATCACTGGAAACCTCAACTAAGTTAGGTATGGATATAAGAGAAATTGGGGTTCTCAGAGATGCCCCAGTGCTAGTTTGTAACATGGTAGTGTTTACCAACATGGAGAAAATGGATAAGAGCACCTTTGCATTGAAGGTGGCATGTGACTCCTAAATGGAAATGTTAGGAGGCAGCTGATGTGTGGGACTGGCACTCAGCAGGAGGTGTGGGCTAGAAAAGATTTGGAGCCATGGCAACTGAAATGCCCCTTGAAGTCACAGACTGATAGAACGGCCCCTAAGGAGGATGATAGCAGAAGAGGGGACCCAAGCCTGAGCCTTAAGGGCTCAACAACACTCATAGCCTTTAGAGAACAAGGAAACCCAAAGAAAATCAACAGGGATATCCTGACCTAAGCAGGGAGGCTAAGAAGAAGGTAAATGGCTTCTTATTACTAGGGACTGCCACACTGAAACTGTAGAAGAGAGAAAGGGAAGATTGCAACAAATCAACATGAACAAAGGCAACAAAGTTTGCACTTGTAACACCTTACTGGGACCCACAGCAGTCTTCTGCTCTCACCAGATATGTCCCTTGTAGGCTATTGTCTAGATTTATGCTCAGGGTAAGTATCTTCCACACCCCATGATGCTGCAAGAATCATTTCATTTTCTGGTGTAAACCCTAAATCTCTTGAAGACTTGGTGCTCTGAGCACTGTGAAAGAATGTGTATCATGGAGGATAAATCATCACACTCAGAGCATCCATGTCCTAGGACAGGAGATGGAGAAGCTCAAGGCTTTATGAAAGACCCCCTCAGGGCTGTTTCTTCTTGCTCACTAATTTACCTTTTGCTTATGTCTCTAACATGTGGTTAAGAGTGCCAAATCTGGGCTGAAATGCTTGGTTAAATATCAGCACCTCCGTCTCATCATCTGGGAAATGGGGATGATCACACTGATTGGGCAGGCTGTGGGAGGATGACTGGGGAACTCAGCAAACAGTAACCCTTGAGGTCCCATGGCTGTTGGCTTTCCAGGGTGTTTCCTTCATTATTTTATGTCAGTTACATTTGCTAAAACACCCAAGTGTTCCATATCATGTGTGCGTGTGTGTGTGTGTGTGTGTGTGTGTGTGTGTGTGTGTATACCAGTTCATGTACATGTGTGTTCATGTGGAGGCCAGAGGCCAACATCAGGTGTCTTTTGCAGTCACTCCCCCACCTTTTCTTTTTTTTATTTATTATTTTTATTTTATATGTATGATTATATTTCCTACACTGGTGCAATGCCTGAGGAGGTCAGAAGAGGGTGTCAAATCCCTTGGAACTGGAGTTACAGATGCTTGTTAGCCACCATGTCAGTACTGGGAATCGAACCTGAGTCCTCTGTAAGAACAGTCAGTGCTCTTAACCACTGAGCCATGTCTCCAGCCCCCCACCTTCTTTTTTGAGATGAGCTCTTACTGATCCTAGGGATCACTGATTTTGCTAGACCTTCTGGTCAGCCAGCTTCAGGGATCCTGCTTTCTTTACCTCCACAGTGCTGGGATTACAAATGTGGGCCATTGTGCCTGTCATTTAAGTGGGTGCAGGGGATCAAACTTAGGCCCGTGGGGCAAGCATTGTATCAACTGAGTCCTATCACTAGCCTCCCATATCATCTTTGTGTGTGTGGCGGGGGGGGGCATGTACATACGTGTTTATGTGGGAGAAATGTAGAAGCCAGAAGTCTACATCAGGCATCTTCCTCTATTATCCTGGGGTTTTTTATTTAATTTAAACATTTTTTTATTTATTCTTTTTATTTTATGTGTATGCATGTATTGCCTGCATGTAGGTAAGTTCACCCATGTTGTGCAATGCCCGCGGAGGACAGAAGAGACTGTGGGATCCCCTGGAACTGGAGTTACAGACAGTTGTTAGCTGCCATATCGGTGCTGGGATTCAAACCTGGGTCTTCTGCAAGAACATCCAGTGTTCTTAACTGCTGAGCCATCTCTCCACCCCCTTCTCACTTATTTTTTGAGATGGCTTCTCTCAGTGAACCTAGCTTACCAGTTGGCTAGGCTGGCTGCTCTGGGGATCTGCCTGATTTGGTCCACTCCCACCCCATTGCTATTATTACTGATGCACACTACCAAACTTGGCTTTTTGATGTGGGTGCCAGGGATCTGAACACAGATCCTCATACCTGCATGGCAAGCACTTTACCTGCTGGATTCCCTCTGCCTCCCGTTATCGTAACATGAATTTCAGGCCTGCATTTTAGTGAGATAATTAAAATGTCAAGTCACAACCATAGTATGTGAAAAATGATGTTTCTTTCTTTGTAGCCGTATTGAACACCTCAAATCCCAAAATGACCTTCTGACCATAACCCTCGAGGAATGTAAAAACAATGCGGAGAGGATGAGCATGCTGGTGGGAAAATACGAATCTAATGCCACAGCGCTGAGGCTGGCCTTACAGTATAGGTAGGAAAACCAGGAGGGGAGGGCATCCTTGGTATTATTTTTAAAAATGTTCACATTAATTAATTAATTTTTTGTGTATGTGTATGTGTGCACTTATGTCTAGGCACACACATGCGATGGTGCATGTGTGGAGGTCAGAAGAGAATTGGTTCTCTTTTTCTACCATTGAACTCAGATCATCAGACTTGGCAGTACGTGCCTTTCCTTGCTGAGTGTCTCACTGGCCCCATCCTCAGTGTTCCTGCAGCCACTTTGTTACACATACATCTGTAGCAACTGTCTGTAAAAAAAAAAAAAATGGAAACAAAATTTTTTAAAAATACATGGCCTTGGGGCTGGAGAGATGGCTCAGAGGTTAAGAGCACTGACTGCTCTTGCAGAGGACCCGGGTTTGATTCCTAGCACCCACATGGCAGCTATGAGCTGTCCTTAACTCCAGTTCCAGGGGAATCTGAAGCCCCCTTCTGACTTCTGTGGCATTGCATGACACAGGTGCATTCACATTCATGTAGCCAATACACTCATACACATAAAAATAAAAAATAAATAAAATAAATAAAAATACATGGCCTTAAGACCTGCAGGTTTATTAATGTCCCCACATAAGGCTAGTTGTCAAGGTCTCAGAGCAGGTGATTGTATCTAACTCTTAGCCTCTCTTATACAAAGATCAGTATTGTTTTAAGAAATTTTGTTGGTGCTTAAAAAAACAAAATTAAAATCAGGTATGGTGCTGCATGCCTTTAATCCCAGCACTTGGAAGGCAGAGGCAGGCAGATAATCTGTGAGATCAAGGCCAGCCTGGTCTACATCGAGGTCAGGCCAGCTGCACTGAAGCAAGCATCAAACTCCTGTGACGGTTCTAAACATGGACCACTCTACCCGCAGTCAGTCTTTGGTCTCAGAGGGCTGCATATGAGTGCATCCTGAAGGATGAACCATCCTAGTACCACCTGCCTGAAATATGGACTGCCCTTGCAAGGAGCTGACAACATCACTAGCTTGTAATTTTGCCCTTTAACTCTCAGAGAAAGATGATGAGGGTGAAAACAGTAGAAAACAGATGGCGTCTCAACTGACCATTGACTAAAGCAACGTTTCCCTTGTTTAGCTTACAGAAGCTCACTGAGTTATTTGTTTATGAAGGAAATCTTGCCACTGTGGGCCTTGTATTCTGCTCACATGGGTATCAGGCATGTGCTCTGCCTCCTGTCTGTACATGGATCTGTGTGTATCTCAGACCATTGGAAATGGACTTATCTAGGTGGGTGGGGGGCTGTTTACTTTTCTGTTTGTTCCTTACAGTCTCACTGTATAGCCCAAGCTGGCCTCAGACTCATGGTCCTCCTGCCTTGACCTCCTGAGTGTGGGAATTACAGGTGTATCTGTCATGCCTGGCTAAGGGGTTATTCTCAGACCTACTCTGTTAGCCTAGTGGATGATGGACAAAAAGAAAAATGACTTTTTCTTTCTCTTGGAAATTGAAGCTCAAACTCTTAGGTAAAATTCTAAGCATTTCACGAGGCCTTTTTATGAGTATGCAGTAGAATGTCCTGTTCTCTGTGTTGATCATCATGGTACCATGTGTGACTACTACACTTGTGAAATATGGCCACTGCAATGGAGGACAGAAATTTTCCATTTTATTTAACTTAAAACTTGTTTAAATATTTCATTTATTTTTTTATGCATCTGAGTGTATTGTCTTCATGCAAGTGCACCTGTGTCATGCAATGCCTGCAGAGGTCAGAAGAGGGCGTCGGAATCCCTAGAAATAGAGTTCCAGATGCCTGTTAGCCTCCATGTAGATGCTGGGAATCAAACCTGGGTCCTCTGCAAGAGCAGTCAGTGCTCTTAACTGAGCCATCTCTCTAATCTGTAAAACTAGTTTAACTTAAATAGGCACATGTAGCTATTATCTACTGTATATACAGTGCAAGTATAGATCAAAAAATCATTATCTCCTTAAGGGGAGCTATATTGGATATTGTTTATTGTATGAAGAGCTATTATGTCACAGGTGTGATGGCCAGGCATCTGTGAGTGACTTGGCTATATGTGTCAAGCTGATGGTCTCAGGAGGTTCTAAAGGTCAGGTGTCAGCCTATGTCTTCTGAAATTTTGGCTGTGGGGGCTGCTTCCAGAAGATTCTGTTCAGAGGCCTCAGTTCTTCCTGGCTGTTGGATGGAATCCTTAGTTCCTTACCACATGGGTCTTTTTACAGGGCTGCTCAGAGTGTGGCACCTGGCATCCCCCAGAGACGATAACCCAAGAGAAGTGACCCAACAGGGCAGTCATAGTGTTTTTAAAGAGCCTTGTGTTGGACATGCCATATGTCACTTGTGCCACACCGAACCATGCTAGAGCCAGAGGGGACAGCAGGAGGCTGTGGATTCCAGGATGTGGCTCTGTGGGGGTCACCCTGGAGGCTGCGTGCCACCAGTGTGTCACATGTCTCTTTTGACTGATCATCAAAAGAACAGCCGGCTTGCTCCTCCCATTATAGTTATTTTGTGTATTTTTCTAGAAGCCTAGTTTTTTTTTGGGGGGGGGCTCGTATTCTGCTCATATTTGCTTTTTAGTGACCAACATAATAGCAAGCTACTAGGTGGTTTTCTCACCTATGTGGATGGGTTGGCTAAGCTAGATACTGAGCTGTCACATGCCCTGGTAGTGAAGATGGTCAGCTTCCTGCCAGAGCTGAGCTCATGGTATGCTTCTGTTGCAGCGAGCAGTGCATAGAAGCCTATGAACTCCTGCTGGCCCTGGCTGAGAGCGAGCAGAGCCTTATCCTGGGGCAGTTCCGGGCAGCTGGTGTGGGCTCCTCCCCTGGTAAGTGTCCCAAGTCCCTCTGTGCTACTTCCCAACTTGACTCCTTTGCTAGTGTTGAGTCACCTCCCAGCAACACAAAATTCGCTTGTCAAGTGTGTTTTCCATTTTCACTCATGACCGAATGGATAAATTGTTTACATTGAATGAAGCAAGAACTGGAGTGGAAACAGGATCACAGACAAGTTAAAACAAACAGTTGCTCTTAGGAAATGTATTCTCCTGGGCTGACAGTAGGAACAGACGGAGTAGGGCGCATGCTGGTGGTTAAAGGGACTGACACACTGTGATGCCGTTTGTCGAAGGTCCCTTTCCTGGTCCTGTGGCCATTGCCCAAACTTGTTATCTTGTTGCCTTTATGAGCTGTGCTTGTTCCCCAGGTTTGTTCCTGTGAATAGCATTGAAGTGTAGGTTCTCCACCCCCAGATGTCTTGTGAGCAGAGAAGTCATTTCATACCTGTTTTAGTCAATTTTCCATGACCTGTGGAAGAGTGAGGGCATCTGCTGACCCGCCTTTTCCACCTTGCCTTTCCTGAGCCCCAGTGGTCAGGTGCCCTAGTAACCTGATTGGCATCTCAGAATCCACACTGCTCCCCGACTTCTGCCTCCCAGTTTAAAGTGAGTAGAAAGAACATGTAATTGGAAGCAAATATGGCACTCTAGGCTTTTCCACAGTAATAAAATTGAGTCAATGATAGCGGCTCTGAGACCTGCAGTGGTGTGAGGAGCCACAGTAGGCCCTGCTAGTGAGAAAGGAGACCCAGGGAGAGAGCTTGACACAGCCTCTGTGCAGAACTGGGTCCTGGACACAGATTCACCTGTACTTTGTAGAAGCAGCCTCTTGCGAGAGGCAACAGCAAGTCCGCAGAGCTCAAGTGACTAAGTGGCTCCTAAGTCTTCTAAGTTGAGCAGTGTGGGCAGCCAGGTACCCTCATCTGTGGTGACCAGACCGTCTGTCAAGGAGTGGCTTTATGCTGCAAGCTGAGAAGGAGTGGAGAGCGGGGAGCAGGTGGGGGTGGAGTGCAGGCATAGCTCTTTCAAGGCTGTGTGCATCCATTAGGCCTTGTCTCTCCAAGATGCACCCTACCACAAAGGCTACCCTACCCTCCTACCCCGAGGTACCTTCCATGTGAATCCCCATCCTTGCCAGCTTCCCCTGTTGCCCAGGGTCAAACTTTTATATGGACACTCACAATTTTTCTCCCTTGGTTTTGATACTCACTGGAATCTAAAGCAAATCTGAAGGAGGGGGGACAGACTGTTACTTTGATTTCTCATGCCCAGGTCCAGGTTCTCCAGCAATGGAGCAGCTGTCATTTGTGTAGGTGGCTTTCCTTCACTCCTCCACTCTGCCCTTTGGACCCCTGCCCCAGGCTCACTTCAGTTAATAACGTTGCCAACCCAGCCTGAGGTAGAAACTCTGCCAACATTTCCATTAGAAGCCTCATCTTTCTGGATCTTTTAACTTAACCATAAAACTTTACTTCTCACATGAAACAGATCCTAAAATGATCTTGGCCAGCTGACAGGTTTCTTATGTATGTATTTAGAAAAACAATCAATTAAAAGGGGGGGGGTCAGTCATGTTCTAGTTTGTATCTCAGAATGTCTTAACCTGTTCCATGAGCAAAAGGTTATCTTTATATTAGGCTTATGCCAGACCAGTGTAGTTCCTTGGTAGGAGCTGAAGGGGTTTAGATAAATCTGTATTTGAAATACTTAAAACCAGTGATGCAATGCTCTGTACTTCTCTAGTCCCAGGTGATTTGTGCATATATTTATGAGATGAGCCAATCACTTTATGTTCATGTAAAGTGAGCCACGCCTACTTTAGAACAGACTTCAAAAAGCAGTCAGCTGGTGAGGTATTTTTAAGATATCCTTGTGGAAAGAAGAGAGCATGATGGGAAAATTGCTGAAAAGCAGTTTGAGGAGTTGTGTCTTCAGGACAGGAACCGTACTCCATGTCCTCCTTACTCTCCATTGTGGCAGGATGGGAACCATACCCCATGTCCTCTCCACTCTCCATAGTGTCAGGATGGGAACCACACCCCATGTTCTCCCCACTCTCCATAGTGTCAGGGTGGGAACCACACCCCGTGTCCTCCCCACTCTCCATAGTGTCAGGGTGGGAACCACACCCTGTGTCCTCCCTACTCTCCACAGTGGCAGGATGGGAACCACACCCCGTTTCCTCCCCACTCTCCTCAGTGGCAGGATGGGAACCGTACCCCATGTCCTCCCCACTCTCCTCAGTGGCAGGATGGGAACCACACCCCGTGTCCTCTCTACTCTCCATAGTGCCAGGATGGGACCCAGACACCACATCTTACTCTCCATAGTGCTAAGCATTGCCCTAATTTTCACATGTCTTCCATTCTGCTGACAATGGCAATTGATCTGTCACTCTGCCCACCATGCCATATAAGCAAGAACTAGTTTGTGATATTTACTCAAAGTGTCAATTACTGTGGTTTTCTTTGTTTCTTACTTACTTCAGGCACTCATTATTTTCATTCTGGAAGATGTAGCCAGTGGTTTTCATGCTCTGGGAAGCTGGAAGGGTTTCTTTGGGCCTCAGCAATAGATTTGAAAGGGTGGAGAAAATGAGTGTACCTCAACTCCTGTCCACTTGACCTAACTACATTTATGCTTTTTTAAGGGTCAAGATTCAAATTTTTATTAGAAGAAACATGGGTCTGTATTTTATGGATGGCACACCAGTGGCTTGTTTGACCAACACAGTTTTTGTATTGTTGTGAAGACTTTACTTTTTAGAGCAGTTTTAGGTTCACAGCAAGGTTGAGAGGAAGGTGCAGAGATGCCCCATGCACAGGCGCAGCCTCCCACATTCCCAGTAACTGATGAATCTGCATGGCACATTATTATTATCCAAAGTCCACAGCTTGCATTAGGGTTCACTCGGTGTTAGAGAGGCCACGAATGTGGACAAATCAACAATGACATGTACCCATCATGGTAGCATCATAACATATATTCCATGCATGGTAGTTGCGATGCCTTAACAATCTCTGGACTCTGACTACTTGTTCCTCTCTTTCCTACCCCCATTTTCCTAACCCTTAAGAACAAGTGTTTTTGGTTTTTAGTTTTATGGTTTCAACACAGGCCATTTTACAAGGCGGGCAAATGCTTTACCATTGAGTGTGTATGTGCATGTATATGTGTGTGTGTGAGAGCGTGTGTATGTGTGTGCGTGCTGTTGTATGTGCGGCATGCCCGTGAAGCCAAGGTTGACGCAGAGTGTCTGCCTCTATCTTGTCCCACTTTATTTTTTGAGTAAGTTCTTTCCCTGAAATTGGAACACAAACATTTGCTTAGGCTGGCAAGCCAGTGAGCACCAGGGGTCTGCCTGTGTCCTCCCCCACTTCTCCCCAGTGCTGGGATTACAGGTGTGTACCACTACACCCACCTTTTGTGTAGATACTGGTGATCTGAACTCAGGTCATCCTGCTTATGTCACAGGCACTTCACTGACAGAACCATTTCTAGCCCCCTGCTGGGCTTTATAACGTCTGTATAGTTCTGCCTTTGCCCTTACCGTTTTTAAAAACACGTCAGGAACGCGAATATCTTGAGCAGGGGCTGACTTCACTGCCTGCCAGGGATACCCCAGCCCTGTCATCCAGCTTCTGAGTCGGCCACCTTTGCTAAGCTCAGAGGAATAGTATTGGTATGGAAAATGCGAGGTGAATCCTGAGCGCTTGCTCATGTGAACCACTTGTTTCGACAATGCTGTGGGCATCTAGAGATGTGGCAGTTTGCCCCAGTTTCTCCCTGCCCTCATTCACACAGGAGATGTGCACCTGAGTCGGGGGAAATGCCAGTAGCCTGGAAATTTAGAAAGCTGGCCTATTAGAGCTGGAAGCTGACTGGAGATTGTACTGTCCATGAGGACCATGAGCCCACACAGAGGAATGCTTTCCCAAGTTCAGCTGCTCAGTGACTAAGCCAGCCCAGAGTGCAGGCCTTCTCACTGGCTGGCCACTGCCAGTTCTTCCACACACTGTCCACTCCAGCCCTCAGTAACTGAGCTTCAGTTACATAAGCACAGCCTGGGCTTACCTGACTCACACCTGTGTCGATTAACCCCTTGGCTTCTCTGTGTTGTAGGAGACCAGTCAGGGGATGAGAATATCACTCAGATGCTCAAGCGGGCCCATGACTGCCGGAAGACAGCTGAGAATGCCGCCAAAGCCCTGCTTATGAAGCTGGATGGCAGCTGTGGGGGAGCCTTTGCTGTGGCTGGCTGCAGCGTGCAGCCCTGGGAGAGCCTGTCCTCCAACAGCCACACCAGGTACTGCGTGGTGCTCTGCCCTGAGGCTTCCCTGGTTGCTTGTCACCTTCTCCCTGGGCTTAGCTTCACAGGCCCCACTTTGGGGAACTGTGTGGCTTGGGTAAGGCAGAACTGCTTCAGGATTACAGCCTGTTCTATCCAAGGAGGCAGAGCAGCACAAAGAAGGGCTTTCTTGTTTGGCCTGTGTGGAAACCGCAAAGGAGAGAGGCAGGCCTCTAGAATGTGGTAGACATGGAGCAAGCCCATCTATCTCTCTGTCCAGCGCGCCTCGCCCTGTACTGTTGTCTGTTTCATTATTATTCTTGACTTCCAGGACTTACTTGGAGTGGCTAAAGCTCATTGCTGCAAGACACAGGCCTCTTCGTATTTGCTCTAGACTCTTCTCTCTCCTTGTACCCCTGTCCTTCAAAAGCTCTTCTATGGCAAGCACCTACTTTTTCATCTCTTTTATCAAGTGAGGTTGCATTTACAGCACCTGCTTAGCAGGCACTTGATCATGAACCTGAGGTCAAATTTATCATATGTGAATAAGTGGGCACTTAGATGAGGAGGAGAACAGCAGGCCACCCCAAGCACAGCCAGTGGTGCTGTTTGATCTTTTGGATGGGGGCAGAGCACCAGAATGAAGTGTCTCTTAGTTATTTTCCCCTTTCTTGCCACTGATAAAGGCAGTAATGTCTTCTTTTTGAGTGCCAGTTGTCAAACTCGAAGGTACTCTGTTAAGAGATTTTTACAGGATTTCCAGATGGTAAAAGGCAGGAGTAACTTACCCCATTTTCACAGGTCAGCAAAACTTGTCTCAGAGATGCATAAGTGACTTACGTTAAGATCACATCCTGCTAAGAGGGAAATCTAGAGCTTCATCAGCAAGCATGGTGTTCCTTCTACTCCTCCACAGTGGGCCCATAAGATTATAACACACAGAGTGACAGGAACCACATAAGGATTCATGGACTATCAAATGCCAAAGGACAAGTACTGATGTTTTCTTGGTGCCTGAGAACAATTTAGTACTCCCTTCTCCTACTAGGACCCAGTCATCTGCTTCAGGGCTTCCACATGCCTACACTCGGCCCCATGTTCCAGGATCGGCCCCATGTTCCAGGAGAGGGCACATTCCCAGTCTTACTTGGCTAGCTGCCCACAAGGACAAGGGGCTTATTTCCTCCCAACTCCAAGCAACAATTGTCTTATTTAGTGGCACACAGATTGTAAGTGTTTCTTTTCCTTTAAAACCAAATTCCCCTTTTGAAAAACAGAAAACACATTTCCTGCTCAATGATGTTTCCAGGTGCTTATAAAGTGCAATTTCCATGTTTGTTTAAATAGAGATGACCTGCCCAGGTTGTCAGTGGCGCTCTTCTCTTGAATTAGTACATGTTAAGAATTGGGTTAGTAGGAAATATATGAATCAGTAGTTTAGGAGATCTGTGCTGAACATTGTCCACACACATCTCCCTTCCTCCAAGAAGATTTTGTTTTAATCTGAGTCAGAGACAATTTTTGGAGTCATTCAAAAGTGAGGACAGTTTTTCTAGCCATCTGCCGGTAGAGATCTGATTTTGAATATTTGTTAAAGAAGGTAATTTAATGTATAAGTGAGCTTGATTTTTTTTTTAACATTTTCTTGAGAAACTTAAATTTTGATGCTGTATTTCTATAGGTTCAGATAAGTCTAGACACAATTTCTGTTTTCAAAAATGAGCTTACTAAAGAATGGCCTTGCTGGGCGTGGTGGTACATACCTTTAGTCCCAGCACTTGGGAGGCAGAGGCTGGAGGGGCCATGTTTACGCAGGGGCCTTGTTTACGCAGTGAGTTCCAGGGGCCTTGTTTATGCAGTGAGTTCCAGGCCAGCAGGGGCTACAGGGAGACCCTGTCTCAAAAATACCCCCCCAAAAGTTCTTTTAGGGCTAGGGGATGACTTAACAGGTAAAGTACTTGCAGTGCAGGTATGAAGACTAGAGTTCAGATTCCCCAGCACCCATGTGAATGCTGAGTGAGTGTGATGGGCCACCTATAATAATCCCAGTAGGGGATCTCTGGGGCAAAGCTGGCTAACTAGATGAATTTATAAGGTGGAACAATCAAGGAAGACACCCTGTGTCAACCTCTAGCTTCTGCATATGCACACCCATGCATGTGCGTGTGCATGTGCATGCCCACGCCCACCAGCACCCACACACATACTATGCATACATAGAATAGCCCCTGAAGTAGTTTTGGTGTCAGGTGGGTCTTCCATCAAACACAGAGGCCTTTAACTCTGATTCCACCGAAACTTGATTCCTCCCTCCTGCCCTGTCAGACGTTCTTAGCAGGTATAGAAGAACCCCACACAGGGCACTCATATGGCTCTATATAATCATTGATCCAGACACAGTTTGAGTGTTTTTATTAAACCTGGGTTCAGGACAAAGCCCCCAACCATGAGACTACAATATTCTCAGCATTTTATGTCTTGGCATTCTGGCTCAGGCGGTGCCCCATAAAAGTTTATGAAAAAGAAGGACAAGGAGCTTTATGTGGTTCTGTTAATCCCCTTTCCTCCCACTGTAACCACCTGGCAGAGCAATCTCCAGTCAGGGTGTCTGCCACAGCTGCTCAGGGTCTCAGGAAAGGAATGTGGAGTATTGGTCCCTGGAGGCATCTGGCAGTTCCTGAGGACAGGAGGGTTAATGGCTTTAGGAAGAAGCAGCTGAGGGGTAGTTACCCAGCTAGGAGAATTTGCATGATACTGTTGGCAGGAGCTCAGCATAAAAGAAAAAAATTTCATTTGAAAAAATGATAGCCACTGGTTATCAGAAAGCATAATTGTCTTAGTGGATAGAATAGGTGATGTGGAGTGCCCAGATAGCTTTATCAGCTTACCATGGCACAGAGGCAAATGGACTGAATTGTTGGCAGGTGAAGATAGGAATTCTCCAGCAGCCTACCCCTTCTGTCAAGCACTGTGTTTTCTGCATATTCTGTGACCTGCATCCACTGAAAGACAGAAGCACTGTGCTTTCTGCGTATTCACTGACCCACATCCACTGAAGGACAGAAAAACCACAGCAAGTACACACTCCTCGAAATTATCATTGCCACTCTTCTGTTTCTGCAGAAAGTAGGCACAGTGGTGAGCAATGAGTGGAGGGTAACACCTCAGTCTTGCTGCCAGCCTCCCCATGCCTCAGGCAGCTAGGTGCTGCCTGGCACGATCCCCAAGTTGTCATGGAAGACAGCAGAGCACCAGAAGTGCCTGGCTCTCCTCCTCTGTGCTAGTCTGATAAAGTTTCAGGGGCAGAAAGGATGGTTTAGAGCAGTAGAATGCTGTCTGTTGAAAAGGTGGTGGCTTGGAACTGCTATCCAGTTAGGGCAGGCTTCTCCCACCACCATCAGTGAGCTTCAGGGAATGAGAGTCAGACTAGATCTGGCTGTTTTAATGTCATGTTTTAGAAAAAGAGAGGTGTTTTGTTCAAGTCTTAGGAGACCATGTCCAAAATGCTGGGGATTAATGCTTATTAGTGTAAGTGCCAGCATCCAGCTAAGACATTCCTGGACAGGATGGTACACTGATCCGTGTCCTTCACACCTACCTTCTGGGTTCATGAGACTACAGTAGCAATATTAAAGGTTTTCAGAGCTTTTCTCTTCCTTTAAGACATAACTTTGGATTCACTTGAGTTGAATGCCCAGTTTTAAAATCATTAAAATCTTAGCATTGCAAAATACACAGTACCCAAAGTAACAGTTTTCCACACTGGAATCATCACCATGAATGACACTGGGAGTACTTTGGGGCAGGATTCCACTAATGAAACTGTGTTTCTTTTTATAAATTAAAGTTTGTGTTGCAAAGGACAGATACATGCTAACATAGTTTAAATAAAAAGGGGTCTCTGGCTGGGCGAGGTGGTGTATGCCTTTAATCCCAGTACTCCCGAGGCAGAGGCAGGCGGATCTCTGTGATTTCAAGACTAGTCTGGTCTACGTAGCAAATTCCAGACCAGCTGGGGCTACAGGGAGACCCTGTCTCAAAAAGACCAAATAAAAAGGTGGGGGGGGGCTCTGTTGGAAGGGTATCAGGCCAGGCCATATACCCATGCCTGGCTTGGGGCAGAGGGCTACAGTACCCCTGAGCAGCAGCAGAGCCTACAGGTGAGTACATCCATGTTCTATGTCTAGTTTTGTGGCTATACACATGGCTGGCATTCTCTTCCCTGATGCAGACAGCTTTCCCCAGATAACAGAAAAACAACACACCACCTGCATTTATATATGTAGCTAGCTGATTTTCTTGATGGCATAAGAAAAAGCCACTGTGGGGCTGGAGAGATGGCTCAGTGGTGAGAGCATTGACTGCTCTTGCAGAGGACCCGTGTTCAACTCCCAGCACCCACATGGTGGCTACGAACCGTCCTTAACTCCAGTTCCAAGGGAATCCGAAGCCCTCTTCTGACCTCCGTGGCAGTGCATGACATGCGTGCACTCACACACATGCAGGCAATATACTCATACACATAAAAAAAATAATAAAATAATAATTTTTTTTTTTAAAGAAAAAGCCAGTGGCCATGGCTAGGTGGGACCACGTGGCTCTTCTAATGAGCAGGAGGGCAAAGATGGGACCTGGTGCTAAGGAACAGAAGAGATGGTGTTCAACATCTCGCGCTAGTTTGAATAGTGTGCCCAATAGCAGGCAGGGTAGGTAGAGGGCAGATTGTCTGGAGCCTGGTATCCTTACACCTTCTCTTGGGAGCTACAGCCAGAACTTGAGCAATAAGTTTGTGGCAAAATGTTCTGGCAGATAGTGGTTGCAGAGTGAGCTGTGATGCTGGGAGCTCCAGCAGGGCAGAGGATCACCAAAGAAACCCGGGGTCTTGCTTAGCTCCTCAGAAAACCTGAGCAAAATGCAAATGTGTAGCCGAGCACCAGCTTCATCAGCAGCCTTCTCTTCATCCCGCTCTCGGAGCACCCCCAGGCTCCAGTCCCGGAGAGGAAGAATCAGGCCGCCTGCAGAAAGTGATTTATTCCCTGTGACAGCTGAGCTCATCCTGCGTTCCAATCTGGGAGAGGTAATGGATGACTTAGCCCTCGCCCGGCAGCCGAAAGCAGCCCTCAGGAGGCCAGAGGAAAGGCCAGCGGCTTCTCCTCCTTTTACCATCATCATAATCATATTGTGCCTTGGAACATTAAGGGCATGAAGCAGAATTGTAATTAACTTCGCCTGATCTGCTCCCTGCTGGTGTCCTAGAAGGGAGAGAGAGAGGCTGGTGGGGCTGTGGGCTTTGGTAGTTGCCTTGAAATTAAGCTTTCCTCTGTGTAGGAGCAGTAGAAACTCTGAACTCCCAACAGGGTAAGATTTGTGGAAAGAGATCTTTTTCCCTTTGTTCTTCACAAGTAGCAAAGACAGTGAAACCAAAGCTTTCCTTCTTGGCCAGGCATCAACTCCAGGCCCTAGAGGGTGAAGAAACTCAATACCCTGCCCACTCATCTGTTCCTAGAGTGTTCTAGATACTCTCTAAAGGTCTTTGAGCACTGGCTTCTTGTCAATGGAGCCATTGACCCTTTCCTGAATGGCAGCAGGTGACCGACCCCTTTGGGGCCACTGAGTCTGGTGGTGTGTGGTTACTGACCCAGCTGTCAGGAAAGTAGCCTTTGTCTTTGCTCCTTGCCCAGAATGTGCTGGGTGGCATTATCAACTAATCCTGCTTCTTCAGGACCATTATCTCCTTCCCACACTCTGTGAGGTAGGAGCCATCAGTACTCCTTTTTACTGAAGCAGGAGAGGCTAGGCAGTTCCTTCTGGGCCATAGGCTAGGGCATGCCACAGGAAGATGATCCAGGTCTGATAGATTTCAGAGGGCTGCTGGCAATCACCAGCATGCATCAGAGCAACTCGGGACATAGCAGAAAGATGTGAGGACAGCCAATTACCTGTGAGGACATATCTGCTAATTTTACACCCACTGTTGTCTTTGTTGTAGGCATAAAACATCAGCATCTGTATTAAGGCACAGATCATTGGCCACCGTTCCCAGAGTTCCTAACCCTGTAGGCCTTGGGGGGAAGGGAGTGGCATCCTAACAAGTGCCCAGGTGAGACTGAAGCCACCAGTATAGGACCCTTGAGAACTGGCAAGGGAAGATTAAGGCTATGAAAGAGAAAAATCTGCTGTTAAACTCTCCCTTTAGTTTAGGCTGAATAGCTAGAGAGCTTTAGCTTTTAGTGTTCTTTGAACTTCTATTTTAAATGAACATTAGAAAGGTGTGCTTTAATTATCAATATCATTGTACTAAAATTAGTAGTCTGGAGATAATACAACCATGTGGGTGGCAGGCACATGGGTATTGGTTAATCTCTGTGTATTTCTGTGCACTTGAAGTTTCGTAAACCAATTTTTAATGAAAGGAAAGCCTAGGGTTCTAAGTTAACCATGCGCCTGAGTAAAGGTGTTACTGGGAAAGATTTCATTCCTAAGGCTGAGACCTCCTCCCAACTGCCCTCCTGCCTGGCTGTGTAAACACTGAGCTCCTAGGAACATCCCCACCCTCCGCTCTGTGGAATGCCTTGGGAACAATGCTGTCAACTGAGTTTGCTTTAATTTTGTTGCTCATTCATCTGGAGAGCATTAGCCTTCTGTCCCTCTGTCCGCATTGACAGTGTATGGAGGTGAGTTGTTCCTGAAGGCATCTGCGTGTGTGGCACTTCACTTGTACCACAGAACTGTAGGCAGGCAGTTTTGCCACCATGGGCAGGTGCGTCCCTCCAGTTAAGCAGTGCTCTCCCTCTAATGCACCCAGTGCTGTACGCTGTGGGTCCATCTGGCTCTGATGTGCCTTCAAGTCACATGTTCTTTTGACGTAGCACCTAGGATGTCCTGCAGGGAGGCAGTAGGCGGTATTCCTTCTTCCTTCTCATCCTTTCTAAAATACAGCTCAACACAATAGTGATAACTCGCCATTTTTATCCTTCCCCCACTTTGCACTTTCTTTGTTCACAGCTATTCCAGGCTTTTGTCATCTCTCCCAGAACTGTTATTGTGGACCCCCCAGGGACCTCCATGCTGCTGCCCCAGCCTCCCTGTATCTTACCTCAGGGAGAGGCCAAGGAGATCCTGCAGACATGTAAGGCAGGCCAGGGCTCCTCTTACAAGCCCTCTAATGATGTCCGTTCTAATTCTAGAGAAGACACCACCCATTTAGACCTCTAGATGACACAGCACCTTGCCTCCTTCTGCACATCCTGTGGCCAGCTCTTCTGCCACACCCTGGCCAACTCTGCACCAGCCATAACGCACTGCTAGGGAGTTTTGCATTTGCTGTGTTCTCTGCCCCGGTCAGCCTCCCTCCAAATATCCATGGAACTCTCCTCACCTCTTCAGGTCTACTAGATTGCATTGTTAGCATGCAGGCCTTTCTGGCTATAACCCTGTCCCCATTTTGCATTCCCTATGCCTCTTATTCACAGTACCATGGCACTGTGGCCCAGCCCAGATGGCACATTTAGCTCCCCTCCCAGTGCTGGAGAGGTATTCAGTCTGGTGGTCATGCCCATCTCACTCTCCTCATCTCCCAGTGGCTTCCTTACTGTCCCAAGGGGCAAAGCAAGTAAAGCCTCCCAAAGAGATTTGGTGCTCAGGAGTTTCCCATCCTAGAAGCTGTTCTCTGACGTGAAGGCATCCCAACTGCTAGGTGGCCTCTGCCTCATGAGGATGGTCAGATGAGCAGCAGGGTGCCAGTGTACTTGTCGCTCTCTTCTCTCCCTGCAAACCTTGTTTTCTTTTCTTATATCCTCTTCTTTTCTGAGACAGGATCTTACTATGCTGCATAGGCTGACTTTGAACCCCTAGACTGAGGTTATCTGCTGTGGTCTCTTGAGTAGCATGAGCTATTGCATCTGGCTGTGTCTTTTTAGTAATGTGCTATATGTGGAACTGCCCTGGCTGAGTTGGGGGCCTTATACCCATTTCCCTTATTTCAGTGTAAGGTGAGGATGGCAGCTGGTAGTGACCACTCCCGACTCCTAGATAGCTTCTTGCTACAAAAGTCTTGGGAAGGGCACAGAACTATGGAGTGAGAAGGTTCCACATGGTTTCTCATACTGCTTTGCAGCCATATGATTCAGCAAGCTACTCCATGTCTCTTAACTTGAGCCTCCAGTCTATAATAACAGAAATGACAATGCCAGTCTGGCCTGATTTGTTGAGAGTTGCATGGGCCCTGCTTGCTCTTTTGCCATCAATCCCTAGCCAGTTCTAGTAGCACTGAGTTATGGGAAGGAAGGAACAGTGGAAACAGGGAAACTGCTGTGGGTCTCATTCTGAGCCAATGAGGACAGCTCACCAAAACTGCCTGAGTTTCCCTTCCATGGTGGTTTGGTATTTCAGAAACCCTCTTGGGCCACCACGGGCCCAGGGCTCAGCTGGGTACTCCTCAAGTCTGGCAGGGCCTGCCCAGTCACCATGCAACTTGGGCTGCCAATGGCTTGAGTCTTCTCGAGGACACTAAGCACAGGCTATGGAAGCCTGGAGACACCCACTGGCACATGCTGTTGCAGTACACCCATTTTTCTTTGTATAATAAGGAGCAGTGCCACACATCACTTTTAGAATCTTTGCTTCAAGTTTTCATGTGTGTTTATGAGTGCATGTGTACACACATAGTTTAGGTCGTGCTATAGGCATTTTGTTATTCAGCTTCTTTTTGTGTGTAATTTTTATTTTAAGTGCATGAGCTTCATGTCTGAAAGTGTACTACATCAGTGCAGTGCCCGTAGATGGCAGAAGAGGGTATCTGGTCCCCTGGAACTGGAGTTATGGGTGGTTGTTAGCTGCCATGTGAAAGCTAGGAACCAAACCCCGGTCCTCTATAAGAGCAGCCAGCGCTCTTAACCACTGAACCATCTCTCCAGCCCTTTTGGCTTCTTTTTAAAAGTCCTGTCCACATGTCACCTGCTTTTATTAGATTTACGTCATTATTCATCCCATTTTCTCATGTAAACTATGTCTACCATTGTCATAATTATTCATAATGGCCACATGGTCTGATCCTTTTTGATAATGTACCATTATGTGCTAAACTTTATCTTAGATCACATTACAGGAAACAGCTTTGCATGTGTGTCTTTTTACTTCTGAGGAGTTATTATTTTAGAATTATTTTAGTCTACAACATCTGAAATGTTTTTTTATTATTTATCATTACTTCTTAACTGAAAGGTTCTTTCAGTATCCTCTGCTATGAAATTTGTTTTCTTGGGGAATTTTGTGGGGTCTTTTTGTTATTCTTAACAATATTTTATTATTTCTATTTTATGTGTGTGAATGTATTGCCTGCATGTATGTAAGTGCACTTGTGTCGAACAGTGCTGTGGAGGACAGAAGAGGGTGTTGAATTCCCCTGGAACTAGAGTTATGGATGGTTGTTACCTGTGTGGGTGCTGGGAACCAAACCCCAGGTCCTCTGCAAGAGCAGCAAGTGCTCTTAACCACTGAGCCATCTCTCCAGTCCCTGTTGTTATTTTTGACTGCCACCTAAATCATGTTGGACAGAGAGGTAACGAGACAAGATCTAGTGGTGATGACTTGGAAATGTGGTGTTTCTGTTTCCTTCTCAGCACAACCAGCTCTACAGCCAGCAGTTGCGACACAGAGTTCACTAAAGAAGATGAGCAAAGGCTGAAGGATTATATCCAGCAGCTCAAGAATGACAGAGCTGCAGTCAAGCTGACCATGCTGGAGCTGGAAAGCATCCACATTGATCCACTCAGTTATGACGTCAAGCCACGAGGGGACAGCCAGAGGCTGGACCTAGAGAATGCTGTACTGATGCAGGAACTGATGGCTATGAAGGTGGGCTGCCGGTTTAATTTGCTGGACCCACAATAAAGGTAGCTCCCACAGGGCTCTGAGAGTGGGCCAGCAGATGAGAGATCAACCTATAGTTTACCTCTGTCCAGAGGAGATTCAGCTCTAGCTATACAGAGGATGGTTTCAGTTTGTCTGGGGGTCACACAGGTGGGACTTTCTTGGAGGGGCAGTTGAACTGCAGAGGATGCTGTGGAGTATCCCAGCCTAATGCCTGCCTCTAAGAGAGGCCACATCAGATCTATACCATGATGACCCCTGATCTCAGCAATGCTAGAAAGTCCTCATCAGGTCACCCATGCTAGTGGGAGCTAGAGCAGCTTCCCTGCTACCCTGAGGGGCCTTGTAAGTCTGCGCAGATCTCATACAATGCTAGAAAGTCCTCATCAGGTCACCCATGCTAGTGGGAGCTAGAGCAGGGAGGGATATACCATGGTGAGGCCAGATGCAGCAGCAGGCAAAAGTCCCTGCTTCCCTGCTACCCTGAGGGGCCTTGTAAGTCTGCGCAGATCTCATGTCGTCTTTTTAGAGTTAGCAGAGAGGTTCAGGATGGTGCCCACTGAGCTCTTGGCTCCTTGACCATGGGCTGAATTACTTGACAACATTTCGAGAGCAGCAGAAGCAACTTCCTTGGGAAGCCAGTGTTCTTCATTGGAAAGTAGTTAAGCTGTCATCCTTTCGTCTCAATTTACCCTGCATCTCAGCAGACCCACAACAGGGAGGGACTTGCTTGGAGCAGTTCCGGTACGTCCTCAGTCAGCTCCGAACTGGGTTTCCCGGCCCTGTGGATCCCAAGGGTAACGGGAAATTGGGGGCGGGGACTCTTGTTTCCAGATCTGCTCTCTAAACTCTACTGCCCTATGAATAGAGGTCCAACTTTCTCAGTCTTAGATTCTGTGTCCCTGATCCCTGGAGTTGAGGCATGAGGGGTTGTTTGGGTACCAGGTTTCAATCTGATTAGGATTTGAAGGCTGAAGGAGTTAAGGGGACACTGAGATAGTTGGTCCTAATGTTACTCTCCCATTGGGTCTAGCATTATCTCAAGAAAGAAGTCCCAGCTGTAGTTAGAGATGGGACAGCAACACTCATGTCACCCACATGGTGACCCTGCCTAGAACACTCATCTCTCAGCTGCTGGCACTGAGTCTGGATAAAACTTGAGAAGACACAGGGCAGTGGGAACAGATGTGAGAATCCAAGTGTCCCTTGCTGATTCCACCACCTCCAACTTGCCATCTCTGTCCAGCCACTCAGCTCATTCTGTCTTCTCACACCACACTGGCTGAATTCTCCTGACTGCCCATGAGCTTAGCCTTGAGTCCATAATCGCAGTGACTTTTTTCTTCTTCGGGCCTTCTTTTGTGTACTCTTGCACCCTCTACCATGACTCATTAGCCCATTAACCAACTTTTCCATTATTTATTCCAAACATCATATTTCCTTTGGCCAAAGACTACCTATTTCCTTTATAGTTTGGCCAATATGTGGTGTGACAAATTCAGTGTTATTCTTGCCAGGGAAAGACTTTTTTTGTGGAATAAAGCTCTAATGTACCTTTTGCCACTTGGAAATAAAATTTACGCATCTTGGAAATTTTCTGAAAGTGAAGAAATTATGAGAAGCCGAGGAGAGCCCGTGACATGGATCTGAGCACCCAGGGTAGCGATTGCCCACATTCTTCCTTGGGTCTCATCCTGTGTGCGCCTGGAAGGCTGACCATCAGCCCCTTCTTTTTCCCCCTTGTGTTCATCAATGTGTGCTTACCTATACAAATCTGTTAGCCAGTGGACTGTATTGGAATTCACCATTCTGTTCCAGAGTATAAATGCTGGAAAAATCAGTTGTGTGCTTTTTGACTTGTGACATGGTATTTGTAAATACCACTCAGCTCTAGGTGATGTTCCTTTTAAAATCCACTCTTGGGGCTAGAGAGATGGCTCAGTGGTTAAGAGCACTGACTGCTCTTGCAGAGGACCCAGGTTCGATTCCCAGCACCCACATGGTGGCTATGAGCCGTCCTTAACCTCCTTAACTCCAGTTCCAGGGGAATCCGAAGCCCTCTTCCGACCTCCACAGCATTGCACGACACGGGTGCACTCACTTACATGCAGGCAATACACTCATACACATAAAATAAAAATAATAAATAAGATATTTTAAAATCCACTCTTCTTTTTGAATGTCCTGCCCTTTCATTAAAAGTCCTGTTCCTTTACCCCTTTAATTGTTTGAAATACTTGCTTTCTAGTTTTACATATTCAAGTTACTTATTCTGTTCCCATAAATGCTGAGTCACTTCCAGTACATAGGGATGTTTCCTTTACAACTCTGGGTGGATGCAACTCAGCCTCTCCAAGCCAGAAAACTGGTTTCCAGCAAAACTGGGATTCTAATAGCAGTTTGAAAAATTTTCCTTATATTGAAGCAAAATCTTCTTACCTGTGATTTCTATCCTTGAATCTCAACTCCAGTCCTCAGAATGACAAAGCACTTGCTTTTTGTCCAGCCATCAGCCTTTCTGATATGTGGAGACAATCGTTGCGTCTCCAGCTTCTGAATGATACTTGTTCTGTGGGCCCATGGGTTTAGGCAGGTGTCCCTCTGCACACACTTGGCATGGCATCCCTGGCGGCACGCAGTGGCTTCTCATTCGCTTCGTGTGCTTTGTTTTGTAGGAAGAGATGGCCGAGCTCAAGGCACAGCTGTATCTTCTGGAGAAGGAAAAGAAGGCCCTGGAGCTGAAGCTGAGCACGAGGGAGGCACAGGAGCAAGCCTACCTGGTGCACATCGAGCACCTCAAGTCTGAGGTGGAGGAGCAGAAGGAACAGCGGATGCGGTCTCTCAGCTCCACCAGCAGCAGTGGCAAAGAGAAGCCTGGCAAGGTGGGGCTGGGATGGCACAGGAAGCCCTCAGTACAGGCCATACTTCCTACCTGGTTACCTTGGGCTGTCACTCACCACTGTGTTGCTTCAGTTGCCTTGTTTGCCTAGGTACCGCAGGTCATAAAGAGGATACCACTTTATGTGAAAGGAAAGCAAATCCATCCGCATCCCTCCTCATATTCTACTTTAAACATTTTTTACACATCACAGCCTTACCAGAGTGGTCTGTGTCCGGGTCCAGTGGCCTCTTCTGCCTTCCAGTTATTTCCCATTATGGCTATCACTGGGTTGAGTTACTGGTACTTACATCCCAGTCATTATGTCTGTTACCTCCCTTAAGTTTCATGTCTCTGAGGAAGGAATGTTTATCTGCATTGACATGAGGACAGTAAGGTTCCACAAAAGTGAGGGGTCTTGCTACTAAAAATGAGAGCATCAGGCTTAAACCACACCTGGCCAACAGGTGCACTTGCAACATTGCTCCCCTACTCCTCCTGTGAGTGGGACTGTGAGCAGGAAGCTGCCTTAAGGGCAGGGAAGCGGGGAGGGAAGCCTTCCATTACAAAGTATATATCCTCAGAGACTGGCGTTCTGGTAGTAGATGTTTGCAAACTCACACTCCCATCAGCCTCCCCACACCCCTCAGGTGTTTTTACTGGAATCCAAGCTCATTCTATCATTCCGTATGCTGCACTGAAAGAAGGCGCGTGGGGGCTGGGCAGCGGCTCTGAACCCTAATGAATTCTAGCCCTCACCCTGCGGCACTATGTATTCATTGTATCATATTTTCTGTTCCTAGTATGCAAGCTTCTTCTGACCTCAGTGTATTTCAGATTCAGGACTTGCAAACATATGCTGACTTGCTGATCTTGTACATGGCTTCTCACAGCACAAATTTAGGGGCATCTCCAGGAAAGGTGTGTACCTAGGAAGGAAGGAACAGCACTGGTGCTGTGTGGTGTGAACTTTTGCTTCCTAAGTAGCTAAGAAATCTGAAGCCTGTTTCCCAAAACAGCTGCTGCGTCAGCTTTCCCCACCTGGCTCGCAGATGAGCCCAGGGAGCACACAGCACGCCACTCTGCCAAGCCAGGCATCCTGAGGCTCTGGAGTTTTGCATCCGTCTATTCACTTGAGGACTGTGATTAGGCATTCACAGCATGGTAGGACTGAGGTATGCTGTTGTCCTCCAGGAATTTATATCAAGGCAGATGGGCCAACATGTTCACAGTACAGTTAGAGGATGCTTAAGTGTAAAGATCAACTTTCAGTGCCATGAGAGGCCATAATCTAGACATAGACTCCAGATCAGGGGATTCATAATGAATTTTTCTGGAAGAAATGAACTTCTGAGCTAGAACCTAATAGGGAGAGGGGTTTTGAAGTGGATTGAAGAGAGGCCATCAAAGTGCACATTGCAGAGACCCAGAGAGCAAGGAGTCAATATGTTGACTGGAAGGGTGAGCCTGCAGTGTTCTCCTGAGGGCAGTGAGGAATCAAGGAGAGAGTTCAGCAGTGAGGTTAGGGCTGGGGTGTACAGCTTAGAATCTGGAAAATTGCTATGCCAAGTGCAGCAGTGCTTGGGCAAGGGCCTTGTGGGGGTGGCAGTGGACCATGTGGTGCTGTTTTATGTGTTCATACCTAGGGCTTAGGAAGATGGTGTTTTCTGTTCCATATACCTATAGAATCTTTGCAGGACCTTTTGAGCTTGTTGGTCAGTTTGAGACCACTCAAGACAGAGAACCAGTATCTTATGTGTGTATGTGTTCTGAGGGTGTGGTGGGATGGACTTACCAAGTTCTTGCCAAAAGCCTAGGAACTAAGCATTTTCTCCCAGTTCCTAGTATTTGACTGGGAAGCACTGTGTTCTATGCGGTGGCTTCAAAGCACAAAAATTTCCCTGACTGAAAAGGCCAGATGATTTTTTTTTCCTATCTCAGTAAGAAGCTAATTTTTAAGGGTACCAAGTGTTGTTCAGGTTATAAAATTCAATTAGAGTAAGCTGATTATCATGCCTTTCAAATATTGACTGTATTTACTGTTTCAGTAAAGTCTAATCTGGACTACTGATTGGTATTATTTGCTGGAGATGAAGCAAACAGTCTAGAGCAGGGGCCAAACTTTTCTGGAGAGGACAAGATAGGAAATGCTTTGAGGTTTGTCAGTCAGTCAGACTCTGCTACATTTCCCCTAAAGAAACCAGTGGGTGTTGCATATGAGAATAACTACAGAAACCTACTACGACTTGGATAGGAATAGGGGCCCTGTCTTCTAGTAGGGGCTTACTATTGCTTTCTAAATTTCATGTGCCTGTGACAAAATATTCTTCTGACCTTTTTCATTCTAAAACAGACAAACAGTTCTGGTCTAGTGTATACAAATATAGTCTAGAACATCAACTCCTGTTCCAGAGAGAGTTGGGTGATCCTGCCTAAGAAACTTCCCTCCAGCCAACACAGCTGATTCCTAATTCCTATCCACATCGCATTAGGTTTTCTGCAGTTCTTGTCTGTATGCAACAGACATTATCACATATGTTCAGCAGGAAGCACTGTGAGGCAAGGAGCCTGTCATTAAGGGATCTTAGGAAATGCTAACATCCACCACCCATGCTTGAAAAGTGAGGGTGCTACAGAATCTGGAGAGATTTCATAAGCTGTCACAGGCAGCCTTGGGTCTCTGAAGACACCTATTTGGAGGGGTGCAGCCCAGATGGAGGATACAATAGAGGGCATGCATTAGCCAAGCTGCTGCCCAGCCTCCGAAAAAGGTGGCTTTTTTTAAAAAAAGGAGAGTGGGCAGATTTTGCCTCCTACCATCTAGCATGTGACCATGCATCATGATACAACTTTGTCTGTTTACAGTCCGTCTCTTGCAACAGATCACAAGCTTTTTATTCTCCGACCTGGAACACAGAAGGGTTTCCATACATATGTGTGTTATGCTCATACATCATCAGGGTCTGCCTTCATCCCCACCCCAGTCACCTCATTTTGTAGTACAGCAGCTGCTCACTGCATCTGCCCATGCACAAAGTAGAGCTTATGCAAAAGTGTAGGCACTGCTTGCCTGTCTTAACTCTTAGGAGTCAAGAGTTCTGGGCTCTCATTTCTCATCTGTCAAACGAGGGTTAAACTTCCATGATAGTGATTCCCTATGTGATGCTACTGCATGGGGGTTGGGGGGAGGGTGGGCTTATTTTCCTCTTCCTCACTTGACTGGATGATTATATGGAATACAGCAACGCTCCTCCATCTAGAGAAGATTGGTTTTCTCCCAAAGAGTAAAATATGGCAGCAAGGACATTCATATGTATTTGTCCCCCGAAGAGACTCTCATGGAGTCAGACAGACAGGGTTTGAAGTCTGGATCTGCCCATTTCTAGCTAGCAACTATTTCTAGCTAGCAACTAGGCAAAGTAACCTCGGCACCTTGGTTTCCTCCTTCATGAATTGGGTGCCTCTGAGAGAGTCCTCCTGATGATGAGGGAGTAGCTATGTATAGCAGGCCTAGACCAATCCAGCCCAGTAAGAGCTCCCCGGGGGTTTACCTCATGCTGGGAAGCCTGTGAAGGAACTGGGAGATCTGGGAGCAGAGGAGACAGCTTTGTCTCCTGGCTTTCCTTCACCCGGTCTGAGGGTTCTACTGGCAATGGGGCTGCTGCCCAGTGTGCTCTGAGCAGAGGCATGCACTGAAGTGCTGCTGGGTTTCAGCTCTGACAAGACCATGTTTGCTCTCCTCAGGAGTGTGCTGATGCTGCCTCCCCAGCTGTGTCATTGGCTGAACTAAGGACGAGCAGTGACAGTGAGCTGGCTACAGAGTTTGCCAACGCCATCCGACGGTAAGCAACCTGCCTGCCCGCTGCACATTCAAGGGTGAAGGCTTTTTGTCACGCTCTCTTGACTGCTTACGCCATCTCTTCTGGATTGTATGGGCCTACCTGGACAGAAAGTGCTGGTATGTTTTACTTTTGCACAAACCTTGCAGGCCAGAAATGGAAAAGCCCTGCCATTTTGAAAAGGGAGTGTTAGGGGTTGATACATAGGCAATCATTCCATATGCAAGTAAAACAAAATGTCTCTTTCCTGTTTTGCTGTGTTGTCATATTGGCTACAACCTCCTAGATGATATAAATGGTGATGATGAAACAGGCCCCCTCCCCTTGAAGCCATCTTTGGTGAGATTGCTTTCTTAAGCATTCGTAGCCCTCGCCAGTGGGAGGCCTTGTGTCTTTATTCAGTTCTGGGAAATCTCCCTGTTATTTCAGTTCTACATTCTTCTTCCTCTTTTCTAAGGAGAAAGAGACACTGTCATTTACACTTGTCTCCCAGGGCCTAATGTCAAATTTTCTGTCATTGCTGGTGGTCTGGGAACCAAAACTTGCCTGTCCAATAAAGCAGTAATTTAAATTTTCTAGTAGCCACATGAAAAAATTCATTTGAAAGTCACATTTTATTTAACCCAAATGTACCCCAGATAACTTTTCAATCTGATATGTATTCTATACCTATAGTACATCCCATGAACAGACCAGCCAGCATTTCTTGGCTTAGTAGCTGCATGTGACTTGTTGCCTCCTGGCAGATAAGTGCAGTTCCAGAGAACTGAGTTTTTCTCAGTATGTTTATACACTTAATTGGCACATGATAGTTATATGTATTTCTAATGTAGCATTTCATGGAGGTTGAACTGTCAGCTCAGTTTTGCAGTCTTTGGTTACTTGTGCCTAGTGTGGTATTCGAGTTACATAATTTTTACTTTGGTGATGAAATCATCTTTTTAAATGAAGTGATATCCTCGTGTGTCTCTGTGAGAACATGTATTAGATGTTTTCAAATCTTATTTTGTCTGGTGTATAACTATTTCCTCACCTGCAGTATTGAGTCTGGGGTTTCTTCTTAGTCTTAGCTTCCTAGAACTACTTGGTGTTTCTGGTTTGAGTGTTTGTCCTTGAATTTCTGAGCCCCATAGTCTGACTGTGAGTACTGTGTCTCTATCTCAGCACACTTACCCATGCTCTGTGAAATGCTCTCCACCAAGTATGTCAGAAGTTCCTCCTCTGGGCCGTTTGTTCCTTCTGGCTGGTAATCGCTGAGAGTCTGCCTATCCACCTGAGCATCTGGCCCCTTCTACTGACTGGTGCTTCTGACTGGAGCACCTCTGAATCCCCTTCTTCCTTTGACGGTAGCTTTACTCTGTGTTTTTGGTATGTGGTTTCCTCTTTCAGGAAGAAAGAATCATCTGCCTTTCACTTTTTGTAGTGGCCCCTGATTTCTAGTACACAGGAACACTTTCTAAGAAACTCAGGGAGTTTTACAAAACACCTTGCCCATCACCTGTAGGGATTTGGGGTGGGAGGCTGGGCTACAGTACACTCCCTCAGTTAACCTGATCTCACTGTGTATTTTATAACACAGACTTGCAACGGATGGTGGACTGAAGTCTGCCTTATGGCACTTTTCTCCCTTCCAGGTTTGCTCACAGTCATTCTTTGTCTTTCAAGTTGGAATGGCTCTGTATTTTTGTTTGCCAGCACCGCTAGGGATGTGGCTACATTGCAACTGCTGTGCCTCACTAGGAGAATGGCCCAGCATGGGAGAAGGCCCTGAACAAATCGCAACTACTTACTTGTGCCAGAGGCTAGGATGAAAATCTATTCCCTGGGTTCAGTGGGGACCCATTTAGATAAAACATCTGAAAGCTGAGCCCCTACATTTTTGAAATTCCCCAAGCCCCAGAGGCTTTTGCTGGCACAAGTAGGATGCAGGTTGTGCTGACTAATCATAAAGAGACTTCATTTATCGCCAGTCACAATGGATTTCCAATAACCAGCTTTAAGTTGATTAGAATGGATTTCTAATCAAGACCCAGATATATGGAGCCAAGAAGGAACCTGCAGAGCCACAGGAAAACACAATTATACCACAAATAGAACTTAGAAATGAGAAGATTCATTTTATGAGAGTGCATAATACAGACACTTGAAAACTGAGGTTTGGGGATGTTTTTATCTTTAAAACTGAGATGGAAACAAACACCTTTTCTGAAGGTGTCCTGAGTGGCATACATCAGGCTGTATGCACCAGTGTTTTCAGTTTTCCTCCTCTGGAAAAGGACAGATCCAGATCTCATGCTGTGGGGACAGGCTGAGCAGAACAGCTGGGCATAGGGATTGAGGAAGAGCACTAATCCCTTCTCGAAGGGAGGGAGCCATTCCAAGGCAGGCACACTGTAACACCAGCTACTGAGTCTGGGGTACTGTGCTGTACTGTGTCCACCCAGCTTCCTTTCTCAATCAGGCTTTGTCTTGAGGTAGGCTCTTGTCAACGCTGAGCCTCTTGGCATGTATTCTCTCTTCTTCTGGGGACTAAAACCTCAGACTGTAGTGCAATCCCACATTTCCTATATGACTCCCGTCTAGTTTGGGTTTGTTTCCTCTGCTCTGTGAATATTTGTTGTAGTTTATTGGCTCTGGTGTGGCCATATAGCCAAACCCCTCTAGATGCAGGTTTCTAATCATGCACAGGATTTCTTTTCAGGTGACTTTGCTGTAGATGTGAGCTATGAACACGTCATTTCAAATCCCTCTCTTACTAGGGTCCCACAAGTCCTAATAAAATTTGGCTGAGAGATCATTCCATCAAAGAAGTGAACTAGAAAATGGAAGGTACAAAGAGGAATTTTTCAGGATGGCTAATCTCTGTATCTCTGTGGTGTTTATACTGGCTGCGCTCGGGACCTAAACACAGCTGAGTGGTGCAGACTGCTTCATCTCCATTGTGGTATTGAGGGGCAGCAGGAGCAGGTGCCACTTTCTATATGATTGGGAGCAAGACTGGCACAGCAAAGCTGAGTGATCTCCCAAGGTCACCCAGTCAGACTGGGAAATTGTTTGCATCAGCCTTTGTGAGAAACTGCACCACACATGGAGGGAGTCAGGTTTACTTACAGAAGGGTGTGAGCTGAGCCCACTCCTATAGGTTCCTTCTGAAGACTCAACCTCCATAGTGTGACCTGGTTTAGGAAGATGGGAACCTTCAAGCTCCTAGCATGATCACAGATGAGTCTGCCAATGCTGAGGGCAGGTTAAGTACTGTTGAGAGGTAGACTCTCTCAGGTGCACAGACCTGTGGAGCAGTGCCACATGCTGACAAGGTCATGGTGATTAAAGGAAGGGAAGCTGGGACTGGAGAGATGGCTCTGCAGTTAAGAGCACTGGCTGCTCTTGCAGAGGACCTGGGTTCAATTCCTAGCACCCACATGGTGGTAGGTGTCTATAACTGTACAGAACTCCAGTTTCAGGGGATTTGACACCCTCTTCTGTCCTCCATAGGCATTGCATGACACAGGTCGACACAGGTCATCTACCTACATGCAGGCATACACAAAATAAAAATAAATTAAAAAAAATTTTTAATTAAAAGAAAGGAAGCTGTACTTTATCAGCACTGAGAGGCAGGGAATAACTCAAATGCACTATCCTTTCCCTTGGCTATGAAGTAGGGAGGTGTTCAGCCATCAGAGATCAGGTCCTGTGCTCAACCCCTACATGCCTGCAGCAGCCAGTCGAGCTACCACAGGTCATGGTTACTCTTTGGGAACCAAGTTCTATCACCCATGTGGTAGGTGGTTCTGTAGATGCTCAGTGAAGGCAGTCCATAGTTGTAGGAGCCACTGGCTTCTGTGCCTAGGCGCAACCATCTGATTACGCAGAGCAGGGTGGTCAAGCTTCTTGTTCTCTGCTGACTAGCAAGCAGAGAGCCGCAGTAGATTGGAAAGAAGGCTGCATATTGGATCTCTGTGCGTTTTGTTTATCAGTGTCATCCCAAGGAATAGTTTTGAAGGCTTACCTGACCTTGAAGCAGACTGGAGATGGACATGTAGAAAGGCATGGGCACATGAGGCAAAGTCTCAGGCAGGATTTAAGCAGGTAAGGTAGAAATCTTCAACTTTTTCTGGTTCCACAATTGCCAGTGCAAAGGTTATTTATGATGGGGTAACTCCATCATGGCAGAGCTGGAAGCTTCTACCAGTAGGGGAGTCAGAAGAGCAGTATGATGGGATGTCCATAGTCTTCTTAGGTAACAACTTATCATTAACGTGGTTTGAAGCTAACACATTTAGTAGCTCACAGATCCTGTGGGTCAGAAGTCAACGAATCGAGGCTAGTTAGCCTCCTTGACTGGGATCTGGCTGCAGTGAAGGTGTCAAGATGTCCTGTCATCAGGGGTACCTTCTTGCCCAGAGAATAGGGAAGTGTCCACATCTGAGCTCCTTCCACCCTATTCAGCTGTGTGTGGCTGGAGAGCTACAGTCATTTCTGGATGGCTATTAGCCAGAGAACACTCGGCTCGTACAGCTCCTTCACATTCCTCCCTATGGCCCCTCCATCCACAAAGGCGTCAGTGAGACCCACCCTTACCTTACCTCCTGGTTTCCTCTTCCCAGGAAGTCCAGGCCCTTTTGAGGATTCACCTGAATAAGTCATGTCCATCCAAAACCATCTCCTAGAGGTTAGCTCTATGGCTCTCTCAAGCAGAGATAATGACTGCTACACTGATGACTTTGTCCCTTCCACACAGCCTCTAGGCTCATGTTATTTAACTTCTCCATCTAAGTATCACACTAGAGCACTGCACAGCCAAGGGAGAATTTTGTTTCCTCCTGTTCTAGGAGTGGCCAATTCTTCAGAATTCCTCTTACTAAAAATTGAGCCCTCAGTGGCTTTGGAGATGAGACAGTGAGTTAAAGCACTTACTATGCAAGAGTGAAAAACTGAGCTTGAAACTCCAGAACCCACATAAAAACTGGATGTGGAGCATGAGTGTCTGTAATCCTAGC